AAAGCCGCCCATGACATTACGTATGAATTGTTTTCAGCATCTTTGGACCATGTAGATTCCATGTTGTATACAACTTTTGCACGTCATGGTTTCAACACGAATGTTGTAATACATGTAGCTACTATGACAAATAAATGTAGCTATTATGTCCCAACAATTGCTACGAGTATTAAAAATTGAAGATTATTCTTTTAGCTATAAAATTATGGCAAACAAATATGTTGTGGCTAGAATATTACAATAGCTACAGTGATGTCAAATGTATAGCAAAAAATTAAAATTAGCTACAATACTTATTGTAGCTATATAAATTCGTGGCTATATTATTTTGCCATGATCTTCCATCGTAGCTATTGACCCCGCTATTCCCGTGCTTTTTATAACTTGAAGCGATGTTCAATATTTTATTTGACATAAATTGTAGTGGCTAAAAGGTTATTATTACTAAAATAGTTCAAATACGTGGCAAAAACTAATAATTAGCTACAAAAAATTTAGTGTAGCAATAAATTTGTAGTTATTTCTGCAGCTATTGACACAACATAAATTAACTATAGCAAAAATAAAGTATTAGCTTTGCCAATTCAATTATTGTAACTAAGAAATTTCACCAATTTGTGAATAGCCACGAAATTTTAATTTTTATGGCTATTACTAATCCCCACAATTTTTATATTTGTAGCTAACAATTCGTAGCTGTAGATGCATAATGTTGTAGTGCAGGTTCATATTCTTGAGGAGGCAATCAAACTGTAATCACCGAGAAGCAATTGCACTTCGCTTGCTTGCAAAACCGCACGTTAGAGTTGGTTATTCGGAGGAAGCAACATTTTACTGAAGTAATATCTTATATCTAAGAGCACAATTCTATTCTGGATGATGGTTAATGTGATAATTTTTTTTTGGTTTCCAATAAGTGAATAAAAGGGAGAAAGTTAAATTTGGAAATCATGCCCAAAGTTCTAGCAAGTTCAATTCTTGGAATGTCTACGAGAACAGATAGGATGAAGTGAAAACTATAAGCAGTCATTTCTTCGAATCATTTCAGTTATCTGCATATAATTCCATCCATTGAGTGAATATGTCCTCAGAACAAGTGCTATAAGACTTCTAGCATTGAATTTTGGGATATCAATGTGAGGAAAAGCGATGCAAAAATTGCAGGCAACTCTTATGTGTTGCATACAAAGGTACGAGAAATATTAATTTTAATATCCATTTGTTTACGCATTATATATTCATGTGTTATTATTCGTGAATTTCTATTTTTTTTTAAAAATTTTTTAGGAAGAAGAATGCTTTGAAAAAGCCAAGTTCAGACGTAGACCGTGAGAATGGCATAGGTTTCTCCTTTTTCGTTTCTTTTTTGTCTTCTTTCCTTTTTAGGTTGGTTTTTTTCAATTTTACTTTAAATAAATAACAATATCAACCATATGAAAACAAAAGTTTCTAACATTTTTTTTTAAGAATCCCGATATTCTGCGAAAAGAGCTTAGAGGAAGAAAAAAAAAATTGGGCAATATGTCAGGTTTAAACAACCAAATTCTATAAGGGCAAGTTGTCTTTTCTCTTTTTTATTATTCTTGATTTTCTGTTTTTACCTATTCAAGTTAAAATGAGCAATGGATTGTCTTATATTTAAATTAAAATATCCCTAAGTAAAAGAGTCGTGAAAGGTATAGGGTGACTTTTTCACAAAGTACATAAGAATATTTGGACTTCTTTTATTTCCTTTTAAAACTTATGAAACTAGATTTTCCTCATATTTTAATTTATTATTATGACCGCGGGAAGCACGGATAAATACACTAGTTGTGTATATTAGCACGGATTTTAACATGCATGAATTAAATGTAACGTAATACGTATAGTTGGAGTACTTCACATCCTCGGGGTAACAAAATTCACATCTTAGAAGAGTCTCACAGTCACACAAAGCATTACTGACACTTCTCAAAAAGAAGGAAAATGAGGTGATCAAGTTGCTCTCTTTTATATTCAGGTTTACTCTCGCTTGTTTAAAAAAAATAGAAAAAGAAAAAAGAAGGCAAATTGACAGGCTGCTTCATTTTCCTACACATAATTTCTTATTTTCTATCAGTATTTGGGTTATAGAATAAGAATCAAAAGTGGAAGTTGTTGTCAACGTAACTAAAGGCCTATTTTAGGCCAGAGGCAGATAGATCCCCATCAAGCTGCTATGAGAATCTATTTGCCACAATCTTTCTTTCTTTTTTTTTTTTTTTTTTTTTTTTTTTTTTTTTTGGGAAACTGTCTTATTAAATGACCAATCGTGCACCTCAAAAATCTTATGCTTGGCCCCTTTAGACTTACCAAGAGACAACATTATTTTCTGCCAAAACTCGAGTAACATATCTTGCTCACCCTCTCATTTGTCCTAAATCTAGATATTTCTGGCTTGGAGAATATATACTTCTCTGTGTGTGTAATTTGTATACGTAATTTTCACGCAATACCTACTTCCTCTAAAGGACAGAAAAGAGAAAAAAATCTGAACATGTCATGGAGCAGTGTCAAATGCACGGTTCAGGTTAAACTGGTGCACTACTAAATAAATTGAATCACATCCCAATTGATTCGTATTTGGTATAAACCAGGATATCCTATAGGGTGGGGATATCCTATGAGATTAGAGATAACTAATTCCACTATTTTAGATTAAAACTTATCCTGAGATTAACTAATACCTATAACTAAAAATATGAGATAAATACAATCCCAAATTTTATCCGGAGATTATTATTCTTACCCCTTGTACCAAACGACCCGGAGATTGCTTGACTCAAGATGTGTTATCAGCTTGAGATAAAACAATATAATGGGTCATACTCCAACTGATCTAACTCGATATACGGTAGTTTTCATTTCGTGATGCATCCAAATTAACCCACCAATGAATATATTATCAACTCAGCTCGTTCAATTGTTTGAGCAAGTAAAGTAAATTACACTTTTGTGCACTAAAATTTGATACCACTGATGTCACGTATAAGATAGGAATTTAATGCCTTATATGTCATCCTCTCATGAACTTATCCCTATGAAACCGTTATTTAACAATAATAGCTGATCACATCATTCAGGTGTGATTAATTAGACGTGCGTGTTAAGGAAAGAAAATAAGTCAGCTGCGTTTTTCTTTCTTAATCTATTGTCCGTTTGAATTTATCTTTAGTGTTCCGTATTCTTTATTATTAATTATCTCTTACGGTTCAAATATAATGATTTTTCCTTCTTTTTTTTAATCCTAAAGCTTATGAGCGTACTCTTCTTATGACACATTTCACTATCAATAAGAGTCGTTAATATTTCAACTTGATCTCGAGAAAGATAGAATTTCTAATATGAAATAAGTGTCAGAATAAAGTAGTCAAACAAAGGACAACAAGAATTATATACTTGATCTTGAATAATAATATTCAGCACCTGAATATTATTGAGCGGATTTTGATATCACCTCCCTCTTATTATGCTTTGCTCTCACTTTGTGGTTGACAAAATCTGCTAACGTCATCAGATTTTTGATGTAGACTCGAAACTTGTGATGTGGCACTTTTGTTCCTACAGCATATTAGCCAAATAATCATTCGATCCTAAGAAATTACACATATTTGAGTGGCTAATAAGCTGTCGGAACAAAAGGACAAAACAGAAAGAGTAACCAACAAATTCGATTCGTTTCTGGCTGAAAATCCGTAGGATTAAGTGGTCATATTCCTATTCCCTCCTTGAATGGTCCAAATAAAGAATGTTAGTAAAGAAGTACGTGGATGGTGTATCACTAGAAAAAGCAAATATTCATATTTTGATTCTTGAGAATTCAAACATCTTTTCAAAGAATAACTAGTGGCAATAATATGCTAGCGCTTAAGGGTGTAACTCAGCGTAGACAATAAATTGCGTCGAGAAAATAAAATTAAGACCGAAAAATATTGCAACGATAGTATTTGATTTCAAATAATATAAGTGTACAATCTCTATGAATCCTTTGATTCTTCTTTCCAATTGTAAATAAATTCAAGGGTCTTTGAGCTTGATCTTTAATATGTAGTTGTCGCCACGAACGATGATCTTGTTCTTGAGCTTTAGCTTGATTGCTTGAACTTGACCCTGATTTGTTTTTCGTTCTTGAGCTTGAACTTGATTGCTTGAAGCTTGAAACTTGTAAAGAATTTTGCGGTGTTTGATCCACGAGCTCTCTCTTGCTTCTTATTGTAACTTCTGGTGTCTTTTCTGAGTTATGAAGACCCCTATTTTATAGTTGTGGAAGGGAGGAGTTGTGATAAGAACAAACTCTTTCCGACCAATCAAATTGAAGTGTGACATGGCCGCATTTGATTGGCCAGAACATGTTACTTGCACACGCGGCGCGATTTCATTAGCCTTTTAATGTGACTTGGCATGCCTTGTCATTTTGACACGTGGCATGGTCCTATTGGCTCTTCCATTTGACGTGGCGTGCCACGCCATTTGACACGTGGCACCAAACTAGGCCTCTACGAAGATGATATATTGGGCCTAATAAAGTGGGCTCATCAATTTAGCCCAACTAAATGGGCTAGTCCAATGGATTAAGACTTATTTATTTAATCCATATATATTGAACTTATATAATTATTTCAATTATATTAGCCCATAATATTTATTTTGACCAATATATCTTGAATTTTAAATATAATCCAAATTTTTTTATGAATTTAAAATTTATATACCTACAAATACCCCCTACTTTAAAATTTGTCAAAATGTAAATTTATTGAACAGAAGACAAGGCTTGCAGTATTGGTACAACATCATTTATTTTCCATCGTACCGTAGTCTTTAAATTCCACGTAGCATCCCATGCATTTCTTGGTCCAAATACATTTTGTACCACTTATTTGGTGTCATCTCATATAATTGAAATTCTTAAATGACCAAACCATGGATGACCAACCAATAACTCTTAAAGGATAAGTAGGCAAATAAAAATGCTAGCACTTCCTTGGAAATTGAAAAAAAGATGGAATTTGGTTTCCGTCTAAAATTCCAAATGTGATGTAGTTAAATGAGGTCTTAGAAGAAGAATTCCAAAAGCAATAACATCCAAACATACCATGGAACCACCGCTGATCAAACCACCGCTCCCACCAGAACCCCCAGATAAACAAGTCCAAATGGAGGTGAAAATACCACAACACTTCTACAAGGAGATGTTCCTAAACAAACAAGTTTGTAACCAATCTAATTACTACGAAATGGAAAATCAACGATCACTAGAGTTGGCTAAAGGGAAGCACATTGAAGGCTCCATCCCCCTCTCACCAGAAGAGAAGGAACGCCTCTATGCACCTTGGAGGTACTCAGTAATTATCAAACTATTCAAGAGAAAGATGCCTCACCACATGCTTCAATCTAAACTAATTGACCTATGGAAGCCATCTGAACAGTTAATCTTTATTGACCTAGGATGGGACTTCTTCATAGTAAAATTTAGCTTAGAGGAAAGTATGGTTAAGGCACTGTATCTTGGGCCATGGTTTGTTTCTGGACACTTCCTATCCGTTCGGAAGTGGGAACCAAAATTTGTAACGCAGGAAGCCACCCTTACTTCTACTGCCATTTGGATAAGATTACCCCAGCTGCCAACAGAGTTCTATGATAAAATCATCTTGGAAAAAGTTGGAAGAAAATTAGGAAAACTCCTAAAGATTGATCAATGCACATCCTCTACCCTAAGGGGGAGATATGCACGCATTTGTATTCAGGTGCCATTAGAAACACCAGTGGAAACTTCAATAATCATAGGAGACCATAAACAATCAGTGATCTACGAAGGCGAAGGAACCCTATGTACTAGCTGCGGCAGGATAGGTCACACTACTATAAGGTGCAATTATAAACCCCACTCCTCCTCAACTGCCAATGATACTCAAGAAGAAGCTCACCAAGTGGAACCAACCCCAGAGGCAAGTGAATGGAAGACTCTCACCTTCCTACGACGACGAAAGCAGGGACAGCCAAAGGCACCTACCCCCATGGAAGGTAATGTACCAAAATCATAACATACTCCGCATGCAGAAGAGGCACAGGTAAACATGTTTGGCGCCATTTCAGGTAAATTCCTTCAAACTAAAACTTTCAATTATAATTTAGAAAAACCAACATACAGTTCCCAAAAAAATAAAAGAAGGCCAATAGGCCCAAATAAAACAACCACTGGGGACCATCACATGCCCAAACATGTGCTTAACCCAAGCCCAAGGGACCAGCCCATCATGGGAGCCAAAAGAAAAGCGGGGTCAGATGCAGAAGACCCCACTTTTTTGAGCAATCAGCCCATTTCCCAAACGGAGGCTAAATTAAACCCCAATGATTCAATCATCACACTGGGCAGAATAGCCAATGGGGCCTTTTCCCCAATCTCAAACGGATACTCATCCGTGGGTACCACTGACACCCATTCTCCCCACCCAACCTCTAAAGCCTATGCTTCCCCTATCAAAGCTACTGAAGCACCCGATAATGGAGAAAAACCCAAGCGACAGAAACGGTAATCGAGTACCCTATCTGCACTCCTCTCCCTCTCCAGTCGAAAAGACCACAACTGTCACCTCCATTACATCCCCAATTAATGTACAAGCAATACCCCCAATCCCAACACCCGGAAACCCTTCCACTATCCAAGATGTGACACCAGAAGGGTTTATGATGGGAAATCGGTCCTTAACACCACTCCCATCATTACCCAAAGTAGCAAATCCAAGAAACAAAAAAATGGCAAAAAACTTACTACCAACCACCATCTCCACCCACCCACTGCCACCGGACCACCAACCGTCCTCCTGGTTGGAGGTCGCCTTGTAGGGGCAAGGGATTACATACGACTTCGCTCTGGACAACAGGAAGGTGACGCTGATAGTGCAAAATCTGGCACACCTAGCCAGAGTGACCGTAGAAGCCCTAAACAAGGCACTAGTGGCATTTGTCCCTCTCCTATGGCAATCGATGGCGAACACCGATAGTCCATCACCGATTACGGACCCACAAACCCTCAACAACCATATTCTCCAAAGTTTCCAAGCTCTCCCCTTCTTCCCAGATCTGATGAAGGAAGACCCAGCAGCGGAACCAGTGTTCATTCCGATCGACCTGTCAACAACGCCCTCATCATCCACGCCAAAGAAATCGAACAAACCACCACCACTTCAGAACATTCAGCAAGGAGTCTCCAAAGCACTGGAGCTACTGAAGAAGAAGGATGCCCAGAGGACCTGGAGCAGACCTACCCAACACCAAGAACGGAGTCGATCCTGCTAGACTCGGTAAGATCAATCGAATTCAGCAGGGAAGTGAGCAAAATAGTAGTAGTCATGTGCCCCAAGACCATGTCCAAGTGTGGAATGAGCCTAGTCTCAGCCCAAACACATGGAGCACTGAAACCACTACTAAATCTCACACCCATTTTGAACTTGAAGAGGAAATCCCCTCCCTCACAAGTGCCAGGTCTGACAAACCCAACGAGCCCTCAAGAGAGAGATCACCAATCTCCCACATTCCTAATGATGAACTACATCATATGGAATGTTAGGGGTGGAAACAGTGCCGAATTCAAAAGGCACTGCCTAGAGATGGTGAGGATGCATAAGCCGGCATTGTTAGTCCTTCTTGAAACTAAGATGGCTGACCATCAGACCTGACCTAGACACTAGACTTCGATATGATCATCCAATCTCCAGCGGTCGGTCTTTCTGGGGGGAATTGTGTTCATGTGGAAGGAAGATCTTGTAGCAGTAGAAGAGGTGGCAACTACTCCCCAAGGTATACATGCAATGGTGAAGGTAAGACCCGATCACCCTCCTTGGCTTTTTTCAGCTATTTATGCTAGCAACATCTTAGCAGAAAGAAAGCTCCTTTGGGAGCAGCTTATCACCATCTCTAATACAGTAGGAAATAACTGGTTCATAGGTGGAGACTTCAATGAAGTCTTAAAGGCCAGAGACAAGTTTGGGGGCAACCCTACAAACATGAACCGCACTAATCTATTTTGGAATTGCATAAATAAGTGCCATCTAATTGACCTAGGGTATAAGGGAAACAAATTCACTTGGACCAACAAAAGGTACTCCAACAGGACTTCCCTAATCCTAGAAAGAATTGATAGGTGTTTTTGCCAACGAGGGTTGGATTGAACAGTACCCCGAGGCAAGTGTACAACACCTTCCTAGGACCCACTCAGACCACTGTCCTTTAAAAATCCAAATGGAAGGACCCCCAAGTAACAAGCCCTCTAGGCCCTTCAGATTTGAAACAATGTGGGCCAGCCACCCCTCCTTCCCTACCATCATCAATCAAGCTTTCTCTGGCCAAAACCCCCTAATCCAATCCACTGCTAAATTCAAAGATCTGGCAACAAAATGGAACCAGGAAGTCTTTGGAAACATTTTCCACAAAACGAACAGACTCCTGGCCAGAATCTATGGCATACAAAAGTCTCCCAGCTACCAATTTAGTAGCTTCCTCCAAAAGCTTGAAACGGACCTTAATGGGGAGCTAAACCTCATCCTCAAGAATGAGGAAGACTTCTGGAAACTCAAATCTAGGATCAACTGGCTAAATGATGGTGATGCCAGTACCAGATTCTTCCAAACTTCTACACTCAATAGAAGGAGGAGAAACAAAATCCTATCTCTCAAGGATGAGAATGGAAACTGGATCAATGACCAAAAAGAGATCCAGTCCACCATTGTCACCTTCTTTACTGAGCTCTACTCAACATCCCACTCGGAAGTCCCTTGGAAAACCACTCACCACTCCACCATGGAACCTACTCTTCACCAAATCCACAAGGTTTTCATGGACAGGCCTCTCCACATGAGTGAAATAAAAAGGGCTATCTTCTCCAGCAAACCCTTCAAAGCACCAGGACCTGATGGTCTCCACCCCTTCTTCTACCAAAAATACTGGGACATTGTGGGGGACTCTGTCTCAGAATTCTGCCAAAAATGCTTCAGCACATGCTCCATGGATAACACCATGAACCAAAACCTCCTATGCCTAATTCCTAAAAGCCCACTAGCTTCAATGTTAAAAAACTTCAGACCCATTGGCCTCTGCAACACCATCTACAAAACTGTCACAAAAATCATAGTGAATAGGATAAAACCTATCCTGCACCACATCATAGGTCCAAGCCAAGCAAGTTTCTTAACCAACGGAAGAGCCTGTGACAATGCTATCATTGTCCAAGAATACATCAACCATTTCAGGAAAATGAAGGGAAGAAGTGCCAATATGATCCTAAAAATAGACCTAGAGAAAGCTTTTGACAGGCTAGAATGGTCTTTTATTAGAGATACCCTTGATGTCTTCAATTTCCCCAAAGGTCTATCCAAACTCATCATGTCATGCATAAGTACCTCCTCCATCTCAATCCTTGTCAATGGAGGGAAAACTGATCCCTTCAACCCTTCAAGAGGCATCAGACAAGGTGACCGCATGTCACCCTATCTATTCATTCTGTGTATGGAAAGGCTCTCCAGATAAATTGACAAGGCAGTCACACAAAACAAATGGCACCCCATCAGCATAAGTAGGTCTGGACCAAAAATCTCCCACCTTTTCTTTGCAGATGACCTCACCCTCTTTGCCAAAGGTAACATCAGGAATTGTAATACAATTCTGTCCATATTACATGACTTCAACAATCAGTCAGGCCAAAAAATAAACCTGACCAAATCCAGAGTTCTGTTCTCCTCCAATATTACCCAAGATACCTCTCATCAACTCACCGACCTCCTTTCCATCAAGCACACCACCTCCTTTGGAAAGTATCTTGGGTTCCCAATTTTCCACAAGAAAAAATCAGCCTCAGACTTCCAGTTCATCATTGATAATATGTAAAACAAGTTGGCTGGCTAGAAAACAAAGCTCCTCAACATGGCTGGGAGAAAAGTCCTGATAAAAACCACTCTAAGCTCCATCCCAAGTCATGTAATGCAATACATTACACTACCAGCCAAAATAACCAATCAAATTGATAGAATTCAGAGGAACTTCCTCTGGGATACCACTCCTGAAAAGAAAAAGCTTCATTTGATTAAGTGGGATGTAGTTACTAGAACCAAAGCTGAGGGAGGACTAGGACTGCAAAAAGCTAGCTTTAAAAACAAAGCTGCTTTAGCTAACCTAGCATGGAGAACTTACAAGAATACTAATAGCCTTTGGGCCAGAGTCCTTATTCACAAAAACTGCAACATGTCCAGACCTACTCAGGCTGTCAGACACTATGGGAACAATAAATCACCTACTTGGAAAAGTGCACTAAAAGGTTGGAAAACATGTAGCAAAGCCAGTAGATGGGTAGTTAATAAGGGAAATAGGGTCAATTTTGTTAATGACACTTGGATTCCTAATCAGCCTACACTGAGACAAATGATAGAAGGACCCCTAACCCAGAATTACCTTCAAATCAAGGTGGATACAATCCACAATTTGGGCAACTGGGACACATCAAGTCTATCATTTGATCTCCCTCCCCATATCCTAAACCTCCTTAAGTCTGTTTTTATTCCCGGGGTAGCCACTAAGGAGGACAACTTAATTTGGGGCCTCATACCCAACGGGAAATTTTCCAACAGCTCTGCATACTCCTTCATAAGCAAAAGTACACAAGCTCACTCTCCGAGAGAAGAGGACCACTTCAAGTGGATATGGAAACTCCAAACCCCAAACAAAATAAAGTACTTTACCTGGCTCCTAATACACAAAAGACTGCCCACCAGGAGCTTACTACACTTTATTGGAATAAACTGCCCCTCCTCAATGCCATTACTGTGGTTTTGAACAAGAAGATATTAACCACATCTTCTTCCTATGCCCCAATGCTGTCCAATTTTGGAATGCAATCCAATCAAAATCTTCAACTCCATCATCCCCCAATCCTCTCACTAGTAGTCAACCTTGGCAATTAATCTTGCCAACCCTTAAAGGTGTGAAGTACAATGACTACCTCAACTGGGCGAGGCTCACTCTTTACTGCCTGTGGCACATCTGGCTGACAAGGAATAACAATGTATTCAATAACAAAAAAGAACCCATCAATGCTAATAACACAATTGCTAAGGCTACTAAGTATCATGTGCTTACTAATAACAATTTTCAACTTTGTACTCACCAAATAATGCTTAAATGGACTCCTCCCCCAAGAGGCTCCTACAAATTAAACATGGATGGTGCAGCAAAGGGCAACCCAGGAATGGGTGGAGCTGGGGGAATCTTCAGAAATCATAACGGTAGTTGGATTTTGGGCTTCATGGAGAACTTACCCCAAACAACTAACACTGGAGCTGAAATTAGAGCCCTTGTCGGAGGTCTACAACTAGCTGAACTAAACAACTTAGTTCGGCTACAAGTAGACACTGATTCAGCAGAAATAATCAATATGTTGATTAATGGAAATCTAATATTTGACCCCCTTATTTGTGAATGCAGATTGCTGATTCAAAGGATGGGCAGCGTGGTAGTGAGGCACACATACAGGGAGCAAAACAGGGTAGCTGATGTGCTGGCGAAAGAAGCAGCTAAGGAAGTTTTTTTAAACAAATCACTCTCTCTAGCAGTTCCTCCGGTGTTTGCCAATGATGTATTTTGGGCAGACACCCTAGGAACTGAACTACCTAGATCTTTTGTGGGTTGTAATATTAGTACAATTATGCAAAACTTTGCAACTATGGGGGCCATAAGGTACCCCAATAACTCCCAATGCAGTGTAACCCCCTATTTAATTAGTTAATATATTATCCCTTTGACCAAAAAAAAAAGATAAATGAGGTCTTGAAGATCCGAACAAAAAAAGGTCTTGAAGCAAAAATAAAGTAGCTAAACCGTCGCCGTCGGTGTCAGACTACAACTCAGAATTGCAATTCAATTTCAACTCGAATTGCAATTTGATTTTAACTCGAATTGCCATTTCTTCCGCCTCATAAATAAGACATACTCTTCATTCTATTAGCATCACTTTCACCGTTTGCAAACCACTTTGAGTCTAATTTTGATGACTTGAAAGCATTAACGCGAAAGTAATTACTTCTTCTTTTCTTGTGCTTTTCTTCTTTTGTCATTTTTTTGTAGGTCAAACAAGAAGGATGCGTTTTTGTTTAACGAGATGATCCATGCATGAAAAAGATAACCTTAGAGTGAGAGGGATGGGTACTCATCCTTTCCCGAATATCAGATTACTCTCAAGGTGACCCGACTATCGGAGAGATTACTCTCAATGTAGCTTGACTACCGGAGAGATTACTCTCAATGTTTCCCGACTACCGAAGAGATTACTCTCAAAATGACCCGACTATCGGAGAGATTACTCTCAATGTGAATGTGGCTCGACTACTGAAGAGATTACTCTTAAAATGACCCGACTATCGGAGAGATTACTCTCAATGTGAATGTGGCTCGACTACCGAAGAGATTACTCTCAAAATGACCCGACTATCAGAGAGATTACTATCAATGTGGCCCGACTACCGAAGATATTACTCTCAATATGGCCCGACTACCGGAGAGGTTACTTTCAAAATGATCCGACTATCGGAGAGATTACTCTCAATGTGGCTCGACTACCGGAGAGATTACTCTCAAAATGGCCCGACTACTGGAGAGATTACTCTCAATGTGCCCCGACTATCGGAGACATTACTCTTGATGTAGCCCGACTATCGGAGGCCATTTCATCCATTTAGACCTTTGTGCCCATTCTAATATTCTTGATTAGGACTTTGATGGCCTTTTTTCTTCTTTTTTTTCTAGCCCGAAGAGATGGCAAATTTCAGAGACTATACCTTACCTTCCTCCAAACTTAGATATCTCATAATCGAGACTGAAGATGGCATAGAACAAACTAAGCTTTTGGTTCACTCCTCACAAGCTGGCCGGTATGCATCCTTATGGCCTTCTTTGAGGAACTCCCTTCATGTAGAAAACTGGACCTTGGAGCATAAATCAACTTCTAATCCATTGTCCAAGATGTGGTATATCCAAGTGCCAATCCATTGCCACGTAAACATTGCAAGCGCCCTTCCAAACTTAGGACATCGCATAATTCAAGGCGAAGTGCGTTGGGGAAATACAACAACAATCGAGGGCGAGTATCGTCATATTCCAGGATATTAGGAATGGGCTGAAGATGTACTTGGTAGAAGCCAACAAACCCTGAGTACAGCAAAGATTTGTGATGCTGTCTATGTCTCACTTTCACTTATGATCGAAACTCGAACATTTTGCAAGCATTTTGTGAGGCTTGGTGCCCCAAGACGAACACGCTTCTTACATCAGTCGGGAAACTATCTGGCTCTCTTTGGGACTTACATATCCTGGAGGTCTTCCCATTGCGGGTTCCCCGTACGAAGAAGTGGTACCTGAGACAAGAGAACTCATCCGTTTGGACGAAAAATAGATAAGATTTATTCCTAGATCTTGCGAGTATTTATTTGATGCCTTCCATCACCTGAATGAAGGTACGGGTGTTAACCAAAAGGTCTCCTTGAGCAAGTGGACAAATTTTTGGCATAATAAAAACTTTAATTTATAAACCCGCCCCACTACGAAAGGAAAAGAAGTCCGCACGCCTAAAGTCGACACATAATCCTAATGGAGTATTCCCGAGACAAATAGGTGGTCGAGTGATCGAGAAGATATATTCTCCAAGCTTTGGGTGAGGTCTGACAAGAAAGATGAAACATATATAGCAGCATTCTCATCGATTTGCCTATGTGCCTTTGTGTTTCCCAAGGCAGAAAACTTAATTCGTCCCGAGACTTTTAAGATGGCAAGCATGATGGCAAGCGGGCGAACAATTAGCCTTGCGGTCCCAGTTTTGGCGAGTATTTATCATGGTTTGAATAAGATTTCGTGTTCTTCCCAACTTGATCAGGTCAAAGTTTGTTTTCCCATCCATTATATTTATGGCTGGCTTGCACATTACTTCAAAACCCATTATCCACTTGCTAAGGGTCCGTCCATCCCTTTGATGGTGGCATACTTAGGAGAGGGAGCTGCGAGGTACTTTGACGAGAAGGATGCAAGAAAAAGCATCCACAATAGGGAGGATATAGTTTGGACACCAAACAATGTTAACCGATTCTCGTCCTTATTTTTATGTGAATAACGATGCCCCTCAAGAGTTGGAGTCAAATTACTTCATGAGCTTACATTTTAATTACCTCCCTTTGAGGTATGGTAACTCATTCATCATCAAGCCATATAGCCCACATCGGTTTGGTTGTCCATTTGGGTTTTACCAGAACATCCCCAATTTTTTGGAGAATGATATCTGTAGCGCCTCTCTAGATGAAGGACTCAGATTTTGGAAGATTTGCACACTTTATCAGTCTATGCCACGTGCGGTTTTTCCCCCAAGGGGAGATCCTATGAAGAAGCCTTTCTCTACCAATTATTTGTCTTGGTGGGAGAAAGCGCATGGGAAGTTTCTCGAGAATAATTTACATGCTTTGGTAGACAATGTTGGGCTGAAATCTACTATTCCTTTAGGAGGTGAAGATCAAAGTGTTGGAAAGACGCTCTCAAAAGTCAAAGAACCACCTACTTCGATCCCAAAAGTAGTTAACAACATAAGAAAAGGAAGCTTAAATCCTCAAAGGCAGCTTTGAAAGAGGTGGTGTGCACTTCAACGGATATAGAGAAATACCCTCCAGTTCTTCCATTTAACATATGAGTTCCTCAAGATACAAGCCAGAGTACCAATGAAGATCAAAATTGGAAAAGGAAACGGCCTAACCCAGTAGAGATTGTAGAGGTTCCAAGTGTTGATAGTCCCTCAAGAACGCATACAGCTTGTAACAAAGAGGTAAATACAATCACCTCGCCTTTTTCCCTTTTTTTTACGAGTAGATTCACTATAAATTACTTACTTTCTTTGACTTTTCCTTATGCAGTTAAACGCCATTGGGCATCCGATGGTATCCCCACATGACAAGCCGCAAGTGAGTGATGAATCTATTGGAGGACCTACGTCAAAGTGAAGTCATCTTCAAAGGCATCATCTCTTCCTCATGACAAATCCCTAAAAAGACAAACTCCAAATGAGATAACTCGCATTCCACCAATGACAAATATAGCGGTATCTATTTTTGAAGGAAAAGGCATTGTCTTTAATCGCAAAAAGGAATTCATCTTGGGACTTTGGGAGGATATTTGCAATAGACTCTCCAAAACTCGTGCAGAATTGCTCTCATCTTATAGGGAGAAAATCATTGAGATTTTCGAGGATATGAAGAAGACGAATATTTTGGATCTTTCTCCATTAGAGGGTTTACTGGATTCTCTTTTTGAGCTTGCCGCATCATATGACCAAGAGCGATCCAATATGGCTGATAAGACGAGTGAAGATGACAAGCTAGAGCTGATTTCCAAAGCTAAAGAGCATCTCGAATCGTTCAAACTTGAAGCAAGTGAGAAAGTCAAGAAAGTTTCCTCAAATGAAAAGAAACTAAAGAGAGTTGTGAAGAAGTTGCAGACATTACAACAAGAGAGGGAGAACCTCGAAGGTGTTATAGAAGCGATTCAAAAGGAGGTTGAAGAGATTCAGGCAAAAATTTCAGCTGCCGAGACTGAGGTCTCTTCATACGACAACGTAAATATGTTGACTGTTGATGATTCGGCCAATTTGGAGGAGAAGAAGAAGAACCTGTAGACTAGCTGTCAAGAATTGATCAACTACAAGTTTTGTTTAGATTAGGCTATCAGCATTATCTTCCCTTTTATCTTTATGTAAGATTGACCTAGTGGATATTTATTTCATCTTAAATAAGATTGCTTCTCTTTTGCTTTACATTGTCTGACATTTATCTTAGTCGCATAATTTTCAGCTTTACGCGCTTGTAACGAAAGATTCATATCTTGTCGTGGGAGATTCCAAATAACGAACCATTTGAATTCTCGAAAATTAGACTTCAATATCTAAAACATGTTCAAAATTTAGAATCAAACACCTTCAGAATCGACCCAGATAATATTTTGAAACCACCTATAGATTCCACCATGTTGATAATTTCAGGTTTTTCAATTTCACCAAAAAAATTATATCTTGGTGTAGAAACGTCAAAATTATGAACCGTTTGATCTCCTGGAAAATAGACTTCAAGATCTAAGACATATCCAAAATTTGGAATTAAATACTTTGAGCATTGTCCCAGATATTATTTTGAATCTAACTTTAAATTCTGACACGTTGGTAGTTTCAGATTTGTGCTGTTTCACCAAAATAAATTTGTATCTTGGTATAGAAACGTCAAAATCATGAACCGTTTAATTCTTTCAGAAACTTAACTTACAAATCTATAATATATCCAAAATTCAAGATTCAGTGCCTTAAGGATAGTTTCGGATAATAGTTCAAAATTAATATTAAATTCTGACACAGTGACGATTCTACATTTACGCGACTTCACCAAAATTTTTGTATCTTCATGTGGGAATGTTGAAATCACGAACAGCTTGATTTCTTGTAAACTAAACTGCAAAATCTAAAATGTATACAAAATGTAAAATTTAATGCCTTAAGGATAGTTTCAGATGATATCTCGAAATCGACTTTGGTTTCTGATATGTCGACAATCCCAAATTAGCGCGACTTCACCAAAAATTTTTGTATCTTGATGTGGATGCCTCGATATCGCAAGACCTTTTTTTAATTGCCAAATTAAAATTCAAGATCTTCATTCTCATCAAATATCTTGGGTTCAAGTCTCACTGAATTTGAAACGTCGTA